GATACCAGGCCAACATTGGTGAAACTCACCCTCTGGGCTAAGGATATATCAGCACAGGCCAACGGCAAGAGTGCTGGAATATCACAGAAGAAGTGATCCACTTCATTAGGACCACAGTATGGCAAAGTGAAGGTGAGCAAAGTCAAGATACTGGAATGGATACACCCTAACAGCCATGTGACCACAGCCAGAGCCCCACAGATTCTAGGCCTCATGATGACTGTGTACTGCAGAGGGTAACAGATAGAAGTGAAGCAGTCATAGGCCATCACAGTATACAAGAAGCATTCAATGCTGCCAAGGAAATGGAAGAAGAAGAGCTGGGAGACACAGTTCTCATAGGAAATGAGCGGGCTCAGTCCCATGAGGTACAGTAACATTTTAGGACAGGTCACAGAAGAGAAACTCATGTCAAACACAGGAAAAAATACATAGGTGTGTGAAGGCGAGTTGAAGAAAGAATAACCATGAGGATGGACACATTTCCCAGCAGGGTGCAGGCATAGAAGGGCAAGAACAAGACAAAAAGCATAGTCTCCAGCCCCTTTGTGTGGGGGATCCCCAACAAGATGAATTCAGTCACCACCGAGCAGTTCTTCTTCTCCATGAGAGATGGTCCTAGGGGAGGAAAAGGAAGCAGAGGACATGGAAGAATGCCCTGGCTTGATGTCAGTGAACATACTGGGCAAATGAAATGTGTAATTGAAATGATAGCATTTTGGTTCAAAGTTAAGGAAAAATTGCTGATGACCCACATCACAGGGCATTTTAACTGGAATATAGTTGTCATAGAAAACTTAATGGTTACTGTGCCAAATATTTTTGTTACACCAATTCTAAATGCAGATTTCCCTTATTAAAACAATACTTTAAAAAGAATAAAAAGCATCTTAGAGAAAAGATTTTCAAAGGGAAGGACAGGGCCCACACAAATGTGTGCTCCTTCAGAGAAGAAGGATATCAGAAGCCTCAGAATCAATCAGGGGCTTTTTCATATGTTGAGATATGAACTACAACTCAAGAATCACTATATTTGTGGATCACTACTACTGACAACATTATATTTTCTCTTTCTGATTTTTCAAAGAGCCGTAACGGTTGGACAATCAGTGCTTTACACTGGAAGTGCTTATACAACATGATTTCAGTTTAGTTAACCCTCACAGTTAAGTTTCTGAGATAAATATGTAGAAAAGAAAACATTAAAAAGGCTAGGCAACTCTCCCAGATTGAGATTGCTAGAAATGGCAGAACTAGGGTTCTATTTTTTTTTCTCCTGACATCATTAGTCTTTCCAATGTATGCATCTGTGATGGACTGTGACATTACTAGACTTGTCACATTTTGTTCTGTGTTATTCATGGTTTTCTTGGTGATGTCATCAGGCTCTGAAGATGTTTCTGTTCCTCCTTAGTAAGCAATGGAAAGCCAGCCTGTCCCCTGGCCACCCGCACCACCATCACCACCACATACACCCTAAGATATAAAGTCTAGGGGAGTAAATACTTCTCGATGTGCACTGTTATATCCTCAGTGCAGAAAACAGTGTCTGGCACAGAGTAGGTTCTTAATAAATGCTTGATTAATAAAGTAGTGAAATGACTCATTCAATGACTGGCAAAATTGGATAACATTCAGTATTTTGTCTTGTATGAGGATATTGGTTGGATATTAGTCTCCATACACAACCTTGTAAAGAAGCACGATCATACACTTGTTCCTGTTTGGCCCCCTATTTTTCTGAATATTTAGAATTTCTCTGTTTACCTTCATGGCATCTGTACCCAGGAAGAAGCTCTGCATTGTACTCTAAAAGGTGACCAGACCCAAGATAAGAGCTACACATAATCTATTCTGCCTCCCAAAAGTCCTGAATATTTTATCAAGAGGAGTTACACATTCAGAAAGAACTGGACCAAAGATATCCAGATGAAGCCTTGTTTGGAATATCCAGTCTTTTAATTATTTTGAATCAAGTCCAAATCCCTGGTTATACAGGACAATAAGAAGAATGGAGCTTTTGAGTTGGTTGGCTAACACCAACATGATGAGTTGAAAGACAAACCAAGCAAATAATGTCCTATTCTTATGGTTAGTAGCTCCATGCTCCTAGTCACCCTGGACTCTGAGACCATTTATAAACCAAGGACTCCAAGTTCTCTTCTCCATGAGATGTATGAGAAACAAAAAATGAGCACAAAGAAAAAGATGAAGATGGCACTTATGTGACTTACAAAGAGGAAGTTTGATTCTTTCACCATCTATCTCTCTAGGATCTTCTGCCCAAATTTGCCTTTGACATCACATCATAAACCAGGGTCAGGGATCTCCTCCCATGATCTGGAAAGCTCTTTCTTGGTGAAGTAAATGCAGGTTAATTGACATAAAATTGAATGTACCTCTGTCTTCTACAAAGGTTTCTTCCAAGATACTAATAGCTATTGTTTTTTCTTATGTGGAAATTTAAATGCCCTTGGAGGCCTTTGGGATCCCATTCCTGAGTGAATTCTGATTCAAGGGGATTGTTGAACAAAGGGAGTAATTAGAAGTAAATGATCTAGTTGAAACAGAATATTCTAATGTTCCCCCTTGTGGCCTGACTATGGGCATGAACAAGATAGAACCATGTCTATACCTTCTCTTTCTGTGGTTGATCTAGGGAAGTGAGATGAAGGCAGAGAGGTGCAGCTCAATCTTAGGATATATGTAGAAAGCATTTCCTCAGTTTCAGGGTATAGTATTAGAATGAGAAGCAACAACTATATATCTCAGGCTTTTAAATATCCAATTTCAAATACTTTATCTCAAATTGTTCTCCATAGCTCTTCTTCTACTTTATTATTTTGATTTGGAAATGTAATTTCCATAATTAGACTCTCCAACAAACAGTTTTGTCAATTGGCAAAGTTGACTTCCTTGAACTAGGACTTGTTCTCTACGTGATTTTTCTAGAATTTTATTAATGTATTAAACAACACATATTTATTAAGAATTTATACAACTAGGCACAAGACATGTTTGCTGAATCTGGAATTTCTTTTCTATGAAGGGTGTCAAGAACCTTGCCCCTTGAGACCAGAGATTTGAAATGTGAGAATTGTTCATCTTTCATGTACAAGAGGGTTATAGTTTTCAAAGAACTAAAATAGATTAATTAATGAAATAGAGAAAGCACAAGGAAAGGGCATCAACAATGCTAAAATCTAGCTCTCTGAAAAGACTAAGAGATATATCTCTGTAAAGATGACTACTAGACAAAAGAGAAAAGGCACTTATAAAAGTTTATTTCCAATACATTTGAAAACTGATAAATTGTTCCACATATGAGTGAAACCGTATGATAATCGTCTTTCTCAGCTTGACATATGGAACATAAGAAATAGCATGGAGGACCATAAGGGAAGGGAGGGAAAACTGAATGGGAAGAAATCAGAGAGGGAGACAAACCATGAGAGACTCCGGACTCTGGGAAACAAACTGAAGGTTACAGAAGGGAGGGGGATGGGGGAATGGGGTAACCAGGTGATGGGTATTAAGGAGGGCACGTGTTGTGATGAGCACTGGGCGTTATACGCAACTAATGAGTCATTGAACACTACATCAAAAACTAATGATGGCTAACTGAGCATAATAAAAAAACACTGTGATAAACTGGACAAAAACTTATAAAGATACAACTTATCAACTTATCAAAACAGACTCAAAAAAGAAATAGAAAATATGAATAGTCATATGTTTTAGTTTCTATTGCATAACCAATTATTCCAAATCTTAGTGGCTTAAAATAACTGACATTTATTATCTCATGGTTTATTTGAGTCAGGAATCCAGACAGAGCTTAACTGGGTGCCTCTGGCTCAGAGTTTCTCTTGAGGTTGAAAACTGTTGCCTGAGGCTATAGTGTCTTTGAAGGCTTGACTGGAGAAAGATTTGCTTCCAAGCTTATTCACATGGCTATTGGTAGGCCTGAGACCTGTCCATAAGACTGCCTTGCAACATAGCAGCTGGCTTTTCCCAAGGCAGTCAATCCTAAAGATAGCAAAATAGAGCAAGTGCACCCAAGATTGAAGCCACAGTCTTTTATAACGTAATTTTGGAAGTGATGTCCCATCACCTCTGCCACATTGTATTCACTAAAACGAAGTCAGTAAATCCAGGGACCTCATTGCACAAAAACGTGAATCCTAGAAGGTGGGTGGGGGGGCTGTGTCATTGGAGGCCATAGTAGAGAGGCACTGCAGGACAGTAGGGGATGTTGAAATATTAAATAAATGATGCTGGGACAATTAATTGGATATTCATATTTTTTTTAAGTAGAAGGGAATTGAATTCTTATCTCATCACAAACAAAGTCAATTCCAGGTGGATTAAAGACTTAAAAGTAAAGATCAAGACTGTGTGAAAGGAATCTATTCAAAGCCCCTCCCCCCCACCCCACCACACTTACAGAAGACAAAACACAGTTGTCTGCACTTGACCTTAACTCTTTGTTTTTCTAGGTCACACTGCCCTACTTTCTCAGAAAGTAGACTCCCAACTACAAAACATACTCTTCTCTAGCCTGACCACAACCCACATCCCAGTCGAGCCCCAGACAGAGTCCCTCAAGAAATCTGCCACCTCCTGTTATACCTGGCCAAGAGTCCACGCCCTCCCCACACCACCCCCATGGGCACAGCTGCACCTTCTCACACCCTTAAAGCCCTTTAAAAGGCCCAGCCTAACAGAAACTCAGGGCTCACCTTTCTCTACATGTCTGGCCCTTCCCCTCCCTTGGAGAGGGAATAGACTCTGTCCTGCTTGTTGCTCCACTCTTCGCGAAATTCTTTGCTGCCCATGTCACCGACCACCCTAACACTATGAAAACAATAAAGACATAAATTAAGGATAATATATGATTTCTAAACAAGACACAATCATCTCTGAAAGAGATTATAAAGGAAAAGTTTGATGTATCATTCACATTAAATGAACACATTAATTTCATTAAAAAAAATGCCTTAAAGTAAATAGAGGAGTCATAGTCTAGGAAAAGATATTTGTAGTGCATATGACCAATAAAAGACCAGTATCTAGGATACATACAGAACTACTGTGAATCAATTTTATAAAAGTCAAAATACTAAACAGAAAACTGAACTAAGAAAATAACATAAATTTCCCAAAGGAGGAAACCCAACCTGTCATTAAATGTAGGAGAAGTTGCTTAACTTTATTAGTAACCAAGTACTGAGATTTAAAAATACAATGGTCACAATTTCACATCATCAGATTGGCAAGTATTAAGAAGAACATCATTACAAAGTGCTGACAATCATGAGATGTGCTATGAATTCTCATCCACTGAGGGTGTGGCTTTCATTGTTAGAATCATTTCAGAAAGCAGTTTGGCATTCCCTAGCAAATTTGCTATTTGAATTCCCTCCAATTCAGCCATTCTGCTCCTGAATGCATCTTCTATAGAAATTCTTTGACCTGTGCTCTAGAGACATGCAAAAGAATGTTCATAATAACAAATTAGAAGCCACCTACATGCCCTACAACAATAGAATGAATAAAGAAATAATAAAATGTAAAATTTCAGCCATATGCGTCAAAATCAGTGAA